TATATATATATATATATATTTACAATAATTATATATATATATATATATATATATATATATATATATATGTATAATTTTTTACAGGATCTCATTCTCCTTCTATATGTATATGTACACATATACACACACACATTCATACATGTATACATACACGTATATATTTATCACACGGGGCGTGGTATGAACGCACATCCGCGAGGCTACAGAGATTGATCTTTCCGAAATTACACCGGTTCTTCAGTTCTCGCTGTATTTACGCTTAACGCTCAGTATATTCGTTGCTCGCGCTCACAAGTTTCAATTGTTCGAACCACGCGGTTGCAGTTAAGTTTAGCATGCTTTTCTTTCGCGTGCGAGACGCGCGGGTAATGCGTGTTCTGCTGTGCGAACGGGACGTCTTGAGAATGGCGTGGCCGCGGGACTACATTCCAGGAAGCGTTTCTTCTCCCAATTTCTCGATGAACGCTACATTGCGCTGCGCACATTTAATTTTGCGGATCACACATCTATCATGCCATCATCTCGTTTCGTTCCGTTCTTCCCCTTCCCGCCCTCTTTGCTGCCTCACTTCCCCACCGTCTCTTACCTACCCCACAAGTGTAAATTCGAAACGTCGACGTTCAACGATGATGTCTGTACATGGTAATTGTTGCTGTAGATTCTCTCGAGAAGTATATACCTGGTATATGCTCGTATATTGATTATTTACACGATTTATTATTTACGATTACTTTACATTATATTATTATTAATAACAATATACACCGCAGATATGTTGTTGTAATATTTACTATGTAGCACATTAATGGCGTTTAATAGAATATTTATTGAAATTATTTACCATAAAACAAATTGTGTGTGTGTGCGTTTTCTGTTACGAATCGCGTTGCACATCGACGACGACGTAGAGATAAAACTGTGCAGACTACAAAAAGTCTGGTTAATCTGGTTAAATTATTACGGAGATAAGCGATTAAATTATTATGGACATAAGAACGGTATCAGAAAGATCTGTCTCAAGCACTGTTCGCGAATGCATATCGGTTTCACTCAGAGCACCATATTGTCTTTGCTGGTCAAACTGTTTAAAAGTATGCGCTCCGTAGTAAGTGGTCCATCTACGAAAATCACGAATGATGAGTGAATACATATTACAACAATACATGTTATGAGAATTTACGCGGTCGCCTAATTCTACGATCTGGAATAATTTTCTTTTTTACTGAAACTATTAATTGCTCGCACGCTTATTGGAGGACTTGGAACGGCGAAGGAGCGTATTACGAATAATATCAGTAATTAAGATTGAAATGTGGGGAGAAAGAGATGAAAAATCGGAATCTAAATAAAGCACAAACGGATAATTGCTAAATGTAGTCAAAACCGCATAAAGCCTATCCAGTAAACATTAACAATAACATTACATCAATGTTATAATTTCTTCTTGTAACTGCTGTGTGCAACAACCCAGATAACATGCATGTTGCAAAAGATGTCGAAAAGATATCTTTTAGACATGCATGTTATCTGAGAAGTGTTACATTGCATTTACATTGCTGAGTGGGAAATTATAACATTGATACAATGTTATTGATACAATGTTACCGTTACTGTAAGTATTTAATTTTCTTTTACTGCAACAAATGTAAAAGCCAATTTGGATCGACAAAAAGACGCAATTCATTTATTGAATGCATGTACTTGTGTTTCTATGTGTTGAACTCACCCATTATATACCAATCATCCGTATTTCCACTGTCCGCTCTAGCGGAATTCAATGCATGGCGAATTGCTATCGGTATTGCAACACTCAGGCAAAGTGGCGGCTCACCGGTAGCTGTGAGGAAATTAGTGCATTTTAACGATGTCATTAACCAATAGATCCTTCAGTCTTTTCAAATCTGACTCGTATCTCATTGTAGACACATTTTTTTTATAATTTTATATCCTAATTTTTGAAAAATATTTGAAAATCACAGATAACCACTTCGTAGCTGGCGAATTTTTCTTGGTTTTATTTAATATATTTTAATTATTAATTATCGAAACACGTATTTAATTATTATTAAATTAGAAATTAGAACATTTTTTCTCAGATTATGTACAGTATTATAGAGAAAAATTTTAATAAATTCGTATGGTCAGAACTTACCCTTTGAGCGAAGGACGCCAATCTTGTTGGGAAGCTTCTTGCGGAAATTTATGCGGAAGTCGATGGGAATGTCCTTCGCTCCTGGTGGTTTATAGTTCTGTGGGGACAATAAATTACTCATCGTATAACGAAGAGCGATTGTATCTATCTAACGATTAGACGAACGACGGAAGGTTCGCGTGTTCATCATATTACGACTCCTAGTCTTACTGGATTGATAACATCAGAAGCGAAAAAATGTCACAAATTCTTGGGTGTCATTTTCAAATAAAAAGATTTGTGTAAAGGGTATTTGAGATCGCTTGAAAATACTTGGGAAATACTCCGAAAATGATTCTACTCTTGACAGTCAATATATAGTCTTAAAATTAACGTGACATTTAACTTTTCTCTTTAATTTACCATTCCTGAAGATTTTACTACGCTAATGTTAAAGCTATTTATTGATTATCAAGGATAGATTTCGGAATATTTTACAAGTATGCTTAAGCGATGTGTTCTTTCATATAAGTATTTTTTCACTTGAAGATAATACGTAAGAATTTCTGACATGCATTTTTGACTTTTGATATTATCAATTCAAGATTCCGCAGGAGCCTTAAGAGGCGATGCTGAAGCTGAAAACTTTATATTTTTTTGCAAAATTTACGTCGTATTGATTGTACAGGATTACAAATGCTTTTACGTAATGAAAGTATATGCAAAAATAAATAGGAGCTCAATATGTGACAAAAACGAAAAAAAACTTTTAATGTAAAATTTCAAGCTGTTAGCGTAATATTTGTGTAATTCAAAAATTCAGCTTGTATATACCAAAAATGTGGATACTCCAAACAGAAAAATTTGAAGAACATTGCTTCGCATCTGAATTCAGAAGTTTAAGAATATCGGAGAAGTTAGTAAAAAGATTTCTACATATGTGTGTGTATGTCCGTGGTTAGATTTTTCGTTGAATATAATTGAAAACAAAGCAACATATAATTTACATTACATTTACATAAGTTCTGTATATACAAGAAATTTGAAAAGATAGCATGATTGTGTTAGCGACGATTGCGTTATTGATCGCAATTCATCATTCATTTCAGCATCCCCTTAACGTTGATATAGTGAAACTTTATTAAAACCCACATACCCAAGTTCTGTTAGTTGTTAATTCTCCTGTTTTAGGATCGTAGATCAAGTCCTCAGAAGTCCAGTATCCTAATCCCATCATGAAAGCTCCCTCCATTTGACCGACGTCGATCTCCGGATTCAAGCTAATACCAGCGTCCTCCGTTAGATCCACCCTTTTGACAATGTGTTGCCCGGTCAACAGGTCAACCTCGACTTCAGCGATAGCAACACCACGAACTGCATAGCTTTGCAACTCTTTCGCGGGTACTACCCTGTCAAAACGGGCGAGAACAAGGTAAGTGAGTAACAAGTAGTGAATACAGCTTTTGAAAATTTGCGAACTTCTACAGTAAGTTTTCCTATGAGCAACTGCAGTGTTACGAAGAGCTTGTTTTCATGGGAAGAAGCCCATTTTTACGTAATGAAAGTATATGCAAAAATAAATAGGAGCATTGCTCAATATGTGACAAAAACGAAAAAAAACTTTTAATGTAAAATTTCAAGCTGTTAGCGTAATATTTGTGTAATATTTTTTATGAAACGTATTATAAAATTTTTTTGCAAACCAAAAGTAATGTCTGAAATATGATAAATGCATAAATAATACAAATTTTTTTTACAAAAACTCCTGACAGTCCCAGAAATTGAAGCGAATTAAAAAACTGTCATGTGAGTAAAATCGTATTTATATTAAAGCTTTATATCCTTTAAAGTAAATTAGTACTGGACTGCTAAATTCCTAGTTTAAGAATACAATGAGTGTAAAATTATTAGTATTTTTACAAAGGAGATTGCCTTGAAGATGGCTTTATTTGTAGAAAATGAGCTCTATTTAATAATTTATTAACAGTGAACATAATAAGTTATATATTTCTCAAAATTATGTTAATAAATTGTTAAAACTTATTTTTTACAAATAAGGTTTTTTTTCAAAACTCTCTGGTGTATAAATATTTTTTGCACTCACTGTATCTCATTAGTCTTCTAACAAGCTAGTATCTGTTCTAACATGTTTTAATACTTTTAATATACGCAATATAATCCAAATTACTGATAAATTCCATAAAAAGAACAGGAATGTTTAGTTATGTGCTTTGAATATCCCTTTCGAATAATTGATACGATAAAGATATCGCGACTTCATAAATTTTTGGAACATTAAGAAAGAGGGCCTAATTATTATGTTTTATTATTAGCCTCGAGGTGGTGATTAGCTTCTAACTAAAAACTGCCTATGTAAAAAGTACGGGAAGAACCGTCGTAGTATACCGAATTTAAATCATCGCGACTAACGATGTCGTTTTTTTTCTTCAGAATTGAATATCAAGAGTATCTTTATAATTTATTTATAGCTGAATGCCAAAAGAATCAATATAAATATTTAGTCTAATTTTCGTTAGACCGACACGATAGACTATCGCGCACTCTTCTATTAATCTAATCTAATGAATTAGTGATGTATTATACGTTGATATTTACATATTGCGCGCGCATAAATCGACATCCTTCGTATGCGCTGCAAGAACGAGTTCTTGCCAGCTTGGATTTTGCATGTCTTTTTTAATCGGCTCGAGTCTTTCCAGAAGCTGTTTGCAGCAATTTATCGCGGCCTGAAATCAACGTGTCCATTATCAGTCGTAAATTCGAAATTATATACGCGCCATGCTATCCCTCGTAGCACTGGGAATTAAACAATTCGAAGCCTTACCACCGCTGAACTCTCACTGGTGATACTACCTCCGGTAACTGTGTTGTTAGGTGTTATTATGGTATTGCTGGGCTTGACGTTGACCAGGCTTAGGTCGATTCCTAGCGTGTAAGCTACCACTTGAGCGACCTACGAAACAAAGGAGAAAGAAAGAAAAGGAAATATATAAAGAGATGTTAAAAATATAGTGGAATATATAATGAGACATTATATAGAGATATTACATATAGATATTAACCCTTTGGGGACGGAGCCGCTCGACGGGCTATAAGGAAGATAAGACTTCATCGCTAATGGCCCCTAATGTCTTTGAATGAAAACGTGACTCTTTTACTATACCTATGCGTATCTTATCGCTCAGAACGACAGACGTCGCGAGCCTTGCAGCTACGAACTAATTTGGGCGGCTATATGCCGACACGCGTCCGGAACGGTAAAACGGCTTGGGCGGCTATATGCCGACACTCGTCCCCAAAGGGTTAATAAAAATAAGTAAGATATTAATGAAATACTAGAGATATTAGATAAATATAGTGGATTATATAATCTTTTCGCGATGAGCTGAATCACGATTACAAATATAATGTCGCTTATATTATATAATTCAAATAAAAAAAACTCAAATCTAACTGCAAATTCAGTCCTGAGTATCTTGCATGGGACAATTTTCGTCAAGAAACGACTATTAATACAAGCCTAAGATATTATTTTAATCACCTCATGATTCGAGTGCACCCATCATTTTTAGCAGGATTGTGCTGTACGAATACACTCGATTACACTCAGTCCGAATTTCAATGCGAATCAATCATCGTCTTATTGATTCATATTGATTTAAATTGAAATTTAAACTAAAGTTATATCGTTTTGTATCTATCATTTTAAACAGCGAGGTGATTAAAATAATATCTTAGACTTGCATTAATAGTCGTTTTTTGACGAAAATTGTTCCATGTAAGATACTCAGGTCTGAATTTGGAGTTAGATTTAAGTTTCTTTTTTTATTTGAATTGTATAATATAGGCGACATTGTATTTGTAATCGCGATTCAGCTTGAAAAATTCATATCTAACTTTAAATTTAAATCCGAATATCTCACGCGAGAGATTTTAAATAACAACTATTAATACGGCCTTAGAGATATCTAAGAGACGTTTAAAACAAGTAAGATATTTTTTCGACGTCTTTCAGAGGTTTATGCTGTTTGCTATTATTCTCGCAGTTTTACTCGCGAAGTTGTACCTTGGTATTTATGCCTTGACCGCATTCGATACCACCGTGTGTGACACAGACCGTGCCGTCATGTGCGCAAATCGACACCATAGCGTTGAATTGTCCATAATAGAAGAGAGGATATTTCATCACCGTCCAAGCGATTCCCCTCTTTTTCCAGCGGTTTTCATTGTTGAACATTTCGACGGCTTGCTTCCTCATCTCGTAATCGGCAGATTTGCGAAGGTCGTTTATCATCGGTTCTAATAACTCCTTTTCGTCGCTTGTCATATTTGACAGTCTGACCTGTATCGGATCCTTCTTCGTTACTCGCGCGATATGCTCCATTATATGCTCGATCATAGCTATTGCTTCCATGGATCCTGGCGCCCGACAATACGTGTTCGACGGCAGATCGGTTCGCGCCTCAAATCCTTTGCAGGTCCAATAGTCGGGTGTGTAGCAGCTGTCGACAATGCATGCGTTAATATACGTATTAATGCAATATTTTATTAACCCCTTACGTTGGGATAACGTAACGTCTGCCAGACTTTGTACTTTCACGATGTACACATTCACTTATTAATCATCAACCCGACTTATACTGCAATTCTAGACAAAATCGTAAAACTCGTAATGGACTTTTTACAATAAGCCGTTAGTCGTAACACATTAGGCATAAGAAAATCCACCAATCAGAATTCTTCATTTTTATTCTGAAGGACTGCAATTGATGGATTTTCTTATGCGTTATGTGTTACGACTAATGGCTTATTGTAGAATATGCTTAACTTGTTCTCGTAAGACTCGTAAGAACTTATGAGTAGATTTGCAATTCTATGCTGATCGTATCTCATATAATAACTCGTAAATATCTACGATTTTTGGGGTTTTTTTTCGTAAGCTACGATTTTACGATTTATTCGTATATTTGCTTAGAATTGCAGCATTAATCTTATTTCGTAATAACTGAATCTTAAAAAGAAACAATTCTACGAAATCATGTAAAATAGGTGTGTATGATCTCGACGCGCGCACGCAACATTGACATTATTATCCTCTTCCGAAAAAGTAATTAATCGCAGCCATCAACTTGCGTGGCTCTTATTAGACATTTATTTCTTAATGATTAAAGTGGGCATGAAGCGAGTTGCAATATATATCTTTTTGAATCTGGACTTAAATATTGCTCGAATATCACCGAGTATCTTGAGATTATTTTGGCTATACTCTGGAAATCCTGGACACATGCAGAATGAGTCTGAGACGTTTTGTGCTGTCTGACTCTGGATTAGCTGTGTAATGAGTAATTTTAGATTTGTTTTCGATTTTGGATTTTTCAAGTATGATAAAATGACTACACTTTAATGTCGTCATAATTTTACGAAAGTTTGCAGAAGATCAAAACGGCGTGCACGTTGTTTCATAAAATTATACCGACCTAAGCATACGATCGTTTTGTTTTACTTGAATAATCCGAAATTACTAATTATACAACTCAATAGATGCACAAGTCCTACGAATCTGTCAAATGCTGACGCTGCAACGGAGTTACCGGTTGCACATTGCCCGGTCATAACGCAAGGGGTTGACATGTATTCAACGCGCTTTGTGCTCTCGACATTTACTTTTCTAAATGGTGCACCACGAGCCAGCCGAGAGGCTCGTTGAAGGTGTAGCCGGTGTTTGACCAGGTTGCGCAATTGAGATACTGTATAACTCCATTATCGTCCACGCCGATCTCATACTCTTGACGCGAGGCCATTCTCTTGCCCATCGAATTCATGTTGCTCTCGATCGACATCACGAATCGCGCCGGACGATTCAGCTTATGACACACCAGCGCGCAAGCACACGAGACTTGCAGGTTGCGCGAAATCTTCGCTCCGTATCCACCGCCGATTCGCTTCACTATGACGTTGATGCTGTCGAAATGAAGGTTTACGTGAACAAGAATTAACGTCTGTAATCAGGTCAAAGTCGAATGACCTGATTTTTGCCAAACATTTGTCCGATTTGCCCGTCTAATATGCGTCAATGATAAATTTTCGAGGGCACGTATCTTTAATACGAAAATAACTATAAGTTTGTGAATTCTCCTCTGACAAGAGATCGTGAATGATTTTCCAACCACTCATGTTTAATTAATCACACTACGATCATGAGGAATGTCACGAAGGTCTCTTTAAAGCAGTCGATAAAGAATTAATGAATCACCTATTATTGTTGACATTGAGGCATTGTGCGATAGATATTTGAGTCATGTCTAATGCCTGTGTTGTCGCATAAACATCCATACTATCCTCTTGAGGAATGCAAACGCAGGACTGGGTTTCCATGGTATAGTGGTACTGACCGCCGCATTGGAAGGTACTTTTTAACACGTGCTTAGTATTTTTCCCTACAAAGTATAAATGCAGTGCCTTCATATATTTGTCCGTGTGTTCTCTTCTCACAATTAAATAATTTCCAAAAATCATCATCCCAAAAATTGGAACATTTTACAATTTTTTAGAAAGAGACTGAGCAAGGTCTCTCATTATACATTTGTTGTTGAATCTTGATCTACTAAAACTTGATCTATCAGTTTTAATTTAAGGGCCGGTTTTTCAATAGCAGTCTAAACTTGGATTCAAGTTTAAATTTTATTCTAATAATGCATTTGTTTTATTTAAACAGAGTTTACGCTGAAATCTAAGTTTAAACTATCATTAAAAAACCGGCCTTTAAAGTTGCTTCTGTGGTTGCGCAAAAACAATCTGCTAAGTCGATATTTCTTCAGTTTCTTCTTTTCCTACACATTTAAAGAAATTTGTTTTTGAAGAAATATCTTTTCTTTTTAAAATAGCAACTTTAAAAAGGCAAGGGCGAGAAAGAATACTTAAATTTATTTTGGACACAAATGTCTACCTTTTTCTTTCGCATCCCTACTGCCGGTCTGCAAGAGTCTCTTTTCGTCCTTCGCGCTGATAACGTCTTCGATCGATATTATGGGCTTCTTCTTTGAGGTCTCGCCGTATTTTACCTCCACCAATTTCGCAGCCTCGTTCGCCAAATCGTGCGTGTGCGCAACGATCACACCGACCGGCTGACCCGCGTACATTATTTCCTTTTCGGCGAACAACAGTTCGTCCTGTGTCATCATGAACATTTGACTGGCGGCCGCTACGCACAAGTTCTTGCCGGTCACGTCTTTGGCGGTGTAAAACGCTATCACGCCATTCATCTTCAACGCCTTGCTCGCGTCTATATTCTCAATCTTCCCGGTGCCGACATTCGTAAGAACGAAGGCGCAAAATACCTCACCAGGAAACGGCGGCAGGTCGTTTGCGTATTGAGCCTCACCCGACGTCTGGTAGATCGCCTCCAGCTTTGTCGTAGGCTTGCTCACCGGCCAGGTAGTCTTGTCGGTGTCGTATTCTTGTACGCCTATCATGATAGTGTGTTAGAAAGTGCTTCTGAGTCCTCAGAGCTCAAAATGTCGCGTGAATGATATACGCCTAACTTTTTAACTCTTTATTGGCACTCTTATTTCTTGCTGCTTAATTCGGCACACAGGGTCTGTGAGATCAGTAGTTTTTCTGACATGTCTTTAGTTAATGTAAAATCAAATTAAATATGCTATTAAATTAAATATGTTTAAATTAAATATCCTTATTCAGTACACGATTTTGAATGTACACAAAGTAAATTTGAAAAATTCATCATTATATTTAAAATAGATAATTTAAAGTATAAGAAAAGATAGTGTATTGATTATATACCTTCAGAAAGAAAGTAGACAAATTTCGTATCCTTTAAGAAAAAGGCTTAACTGTGCTATAATGTGCAATTATTCAAGACTCGACAACTATGGGATCTTAATTTTTCGCTTGGGTCAATTTGACTCATGAGTGTCAAACTAATGAAGCAATTTTAATAACTTTAATGAAATCTCGAGAACATGATTCGATAGTTTCGAGCGAGGAAGAGCTACACGCTACCGAAAAGCGAAAGTAGTCACCTCTGGTGACCTCTTGAGTGACTTCAACGTACCTGAGGATATACCTCGATCCAAGAGACTGCCGCCGCTGCGGAACTTGGTGTTTACGTTCTGCGGCTTGATGCTCAGCACGAATTTGTAGAACAGTCCTAGAGATAGGGTTTTGCGAAATTCCGGCGAATAATCCGGCAGCACATGATCCGGTTTCAACTCATTGTGTAAGGTCTCCAAAGCGGTCTTCAGCACATGCTTGTCGAAAAGCGACTTGCCCACCAGTAGCTGCTCAGTAGCTTTCGCGTGCAGGAATTGCTTGTTGATGCCGCCGAAAATGATGTTGGGCTTCTCCAAGACTTTGCCGCCACCGTCGAGCTTGAAGAGGAAACCGGCGTTCACGAGAGCGTGCGCGTTCTGCGCCCTGGGCATGATCTTGTAGGAACTGTACTCGTAATCGTCGGACCGACTCGGCAGCACCACGCTGTAGATGATCTTGTGCTTCATGTCGGTATGGAGGAAGTCCATCAGCACCATGCTCTGCTTATAACCGGGCCTTTCGAGGATGTGTATCTGGGCACCGGCCGCCTCCAGTATGAGAAACAGATCGGACGGGAAATCGTTGTGCGCGTGCTTGATCATCAGGTTACCGGCGATCGAGCCTATGTTGCGCACCGGCACGCTGGCGATCAGATCGATATGATGGGCCAAGTGCCGTAAATACTTGAATCCGACCTCGCTGGAGTACTTTTGGAACGTTTCCATCGCTACGGTCAGCGACACGTTGCCGCCTAGGGTCAGGTAGTCGTTGCTCTTCTCGATGCGACGTAGGTCTGGTATGTCGTTTACGTCTATATAGATTTCGTACTTTGGCGCACGGTAAACACCTGCGGGGTCATAGATTCGCATCATAGTTTTGTATCAATAGTCGTCACTTGGAACTTGTGCCACGTGAGATATTCAGATCTGAACTTAGAATTGAGCTTTTTTATTTTGGATCGTATAATGTACACAACCCTATTGGTTTATCGCGAGTTTGTTAATCTCACGCTAAAAAAAAACGCGAGAATATACAAGATAAAAATCGTGTGAAAATATCGAGTGCTTACTCGAGTGTCAAAGATATCTCGGATTCTACTTTGAACGCTACAACTTTTCGATTCTTTTTCGTTTCATGAAGCAGACAATGACTCGCGTAAATGCAGACTTTTCAGTAGTTTAGTTGTTTTGAGAGAAAACGGCCGAGAGTAGTATATCGTCGGTCTAATTAGGAAACCTCATAACTTCATTTTTGGACAAAATTGAGATACTTGCTAAGACAAATCGAATGTTATAAGTATTTCAGTTTTGTCCAAAATAGAGTTTAGGAGGTTTTCTAATTAGGCGATATACCGCATATCTCGTGCGAACAGAAAAAACGTTCTCGCAATTACCGTGAGCGGTGTTGCCGCCGTGCAACATGTATGTGGCGTTCGACTTAACCTGAAATATCCCGAACAGTTCCTCTATTGTGTAAACTTTGAAAAACTCCGCATCTTCGAACTTGATGTCCACTATTTTATCGGCTTCGAGCTTTTTATCATCGCATTTACGGGTGCACGGCAAACCATCCTTCGGACAAGTCTTGATTTGGTACAGATCCTACGTAAAAGTTAATAAGAATATTTAAATTAACATGACAGTAATAACGTGATAGTAGAAGAATATTGTAAGCAAAGCTTCTTAATAACGCAAAATAAGACTTTAGTGAATTAAAATGGTAAAACCATGATAAAAATCTCGCAAGTAATGACACTTTTGTACACCTCGATATCGCGGATATCTTTCTTCAGTGACTCCGGTGCATCGCTGGCGAATCCCTTAAACGCTTCCAAAATCGGTCGATAACCGGTGCACCGACATATATTACTGCCGAACGAGTTCTCAACTTGCAGCATAGTCAGTTTCTTGTCTTTCAAGAGGCTGAAAGAATGCGACGAGAAAAGACTTGTAATGCAAATTTTATGCGAGAACGTATGTTTTAAAAATCACAATTGCAACGAAAACCGAGTTTTGACACATTAATTTACAATAAATCGTAAATCTTGTTTTTTATTTTATTTTATTGAAGGAACTTCGCAATTTACATCTTGTGTCGGTAAAACTCCTGTTTAAGGAACTCATCTCCGATGGCTTTGCCTGTTAGATATATTATCAAAGATCGTCCTCCTGATATTCGACAGGCTTTAGCCGTCGCTCATTATTTATTAAAAAATTGTTAACAAACGAATTTTATAAATTGGACATAATTTTTGTACATAATATGAATGTGCACGATTTTGAAATATGGTGAATAGTATAGCGGAGGAGGGGTAGAGCCTCCCCGAAAAAACTAACCTAACCTAATTCACCCTTTACATTTTTGTATCTTTTCTCAGTATTTTTATATTTTTGTATTGTTTCTCATTGAGAAACTATTTAGAAAAATGTAAACGATGGACTAGGTTGAATTATTTTTTTGAGGTGGGGAAGGGGGAGGGATTCCATCACTCCCTCGCGCATATATGTATACTGTTTACAATATTTCAATATAAATTATGTACAAAAATTACACTCAATTTATAAAACTCTTTAATGACTTATTAATAAGTTTTTAACAAACAACGAGCGACGACTAAAAACTATTGAAAAGTACTTAGAGAAGTGACCTTCGTAATATATGTCAAAGCTATAGGAACTGCATAATCCCCTAAACAAGAGTTTTATCTTTGCGTCGGTTTTTACTAGTTCTTCTTCGTTTACGATTGATTGCACATCTGAGAGCTTTGTAATTTATTTACACATACGATTTCTGCCGACCAAAGTATGTCATATCGTATTTCAGATACTGGGAATTTTCTATAACATCGAGTATGTCGAGAATATTTGAACGCTATTGCATTTAACAGGATATTTCTACATATTCTGCCACTCAATCAATTTCACTCGATTCTTTTGTAAGCGTGGATACCTGTAAAGATTCATCACCATGCCGGGGGAACAAAACCCACACTGCGTGCCATTCTTCCCAGCGAGCGTTGCTTGCATTGTGTGATAACCTTCTTTCTTACTTCCCAAGCCTTCAATCGTGTAAATGTTCCATCTATTCGAATATTCATCATAGAGACAGGTGAAAAGGAATAAAAGCGGGACATTAAAACTAACGCAACATCGATCGGAGATTTCAGATTGTGTTGTCACATATAGAAATATCGCTTACTCTCGCGATCATGTTTAAATGTTAATCTCAGGGGAACTGAAGATATCCTATTTTAAAATTTACGTATCTTGAGATAGGTAACAGAACAAAAAGATTATTCCCACAAACTTTACACTTGCTTCTGAAAGGAAGTTGATAGGCACAAACGAGGAGAAAATAAATAAGAGACTGTACGCATCTGCGGACTATTTCATCTTAGCAAATATAAACAAGTAAATTTCTTAATCAAACAAGTAAATCCATGAATCTTTTAAGCTCCCACTAATTTCGACTTAATCTTTAATTTAAACTTTAATTTTATTTTAATTTAAACTTTAATTTTACTTTAATTTAAACTTTAATTTAATCTTTAATTTAAACTTTAATTTTAACTTTAATTTCACAATATAAATTAATTTCGTAATAGAAGTTGCCGTTGACTCGAATTGAGAACGGTTGCTATATACGAACCCGTCGCAGATCAGAACTGGTATGAGACAGGAATTCACGGACATTGTCTGACCCTTGATTTCCGCGGCCACGATACAGGCACCGCAGCCACCCTCGTGACACATCGCTTTTGTGCCGCGCAGTTTCGCATACTCGCGAATGTAGACGTTGAGGGATGTGTTGACCGGTATGTTTCCGGATACTGAAAGCGATTTTGGGATTATACGATGTAATATCGGTGCAAAGGTTGTCACAGGTAATGTCGTAATCATGATGGATGAAAATGTTTCACACAGATTTACATAATCTTATGCTATTTCTTTTTTTCTTCAATTTTTTTGTCTCTATCAGGAGAGAACGGAGCAACACGTGAGTCTCGAGGCCGACCGGTGTATTTTTCTTTCGATTCAAACGGAGTACAATAAAAGATATTGGTTAAGTTAGTTTTGCCAAAATGCAAATAAATGTGTTTTGGTCGAAGAAAATAGGACTTCTGATCCTTATGATCCGATTTTGATTTATAATAACTGGAAATCCTGTTCCCTCCCAACAAAAGCGCGTTTAAGTGTATCATGATCATGTCAGTTCGACCAATCTTTTTCCTCCACCGTGCTCAAAAGATTAATTTACCGCAGTGACATGCAACTTCGTATTATTAGCACTTATATTATTAGCGGGATATTGTAACACTGAAGTAGCGTTAGTTAGTGTTTACTGTGAATTGATCACTTGAGGTTCTGTTGCATAAGAAAACCGTCTTCATCTTTGCCCCGCACGCTCTATGTACACAAGGTCAGAGGTAACCATTTATAAATTACACTCCAGGGGGAGTACATACCCTCGTACAGCACTCCGTTGATTGTAAATGTGACGTATCCTTTGCCATCCCTGAAACAGAATGCAAGCTGGATGAAACGATCGATGAAACGAGTTTACGTCGGAAGTTAGAATGCCAGTTGTGAATGAGATTTTGCAATATTCCATGTAATCCCACACGTCGTTAAACACGATAAACGCGATAAAATTATCTACGTCGCGTGGAAGCGGAATCGATTACTAATTAAACATCCTTCGCGTTACTCTCGACTGCTATATTCAAGAGAAAATGAATACACATTAGCTCCTTCAGGCGCCAAGTTTATTGCGCAATTGAAACTCGTCAGTCTGGAACTCGTTGTTATTATCATCGACATCGCGAACGTGAAAATCCTACCTACCGTTCTTTAATCAGCGTGTATATTTATAATATTTACATTAATACATTCGTTGTGTCATATATGTGTGACACAACGATTTCTTGTTAAAGACTAGCATCATGTGACAGCAAATGACAGCAAACATTTTTTCTATGTCCCCTCCTCTTCCCTACATTGTCAAATTAAATTTATTTTATTGCATAGTATCGTAAAAAAGAAAAAAAGACACAGTGGTCTGTGGGGAGAATCCTCTAAACGAAACGTGGTAGCTAATAAATTGAATCGTGACACTCGCAAATTTAACGTGAAATTTTGTCTCGGATTTTTACTAACGTCCTTTCTATTGGGTTATAGACAATGTGTATGTAATTTGATTGATTCATGCTAGAAATTGTTGGTCAATGACGCAAACTTACATTGTCGCCGTTAATTATATCGCTTGTCAACCTTGTCCTTGTACTGATATCGTCCATCCACTAGTACACGCCTTATAAGGTATAATGCCTTTTGAAAATAACATATGGAAACGTGATAATTTTCTCACATATTATCATTTTTTGTTGCATTCATGGAGAATGACCATGAGATTGTGGCGATGACCATGAGATTGCACATATGCATAACGATCAACAATAATCTCCCAATTACCAACAATAAACGATGTGTAAAACAACAATCGAGCTGACTATTTGATAATTTCTCAATGTATACAAAAATAAAAATACGCAAGCAATCTAATGATGATCAAATTAAAATCTACACAGCTTTGTCGAACATGCAAATAAACGTAATGTTTAATCTCGTTTACAGGTAAGACAGACAGATCTCGTGATTAGTAAATATCCGGACAGCATAATGTCCGAAACTGGGATATAAGACGTTTTTAAGTCGTCTTTAAGACGACTTATGTGCTAGTTTTGGACATGTGTGTTATTTGGGTATCATTTAGTACGAATTGCAATTGTGTGGAGGATTAGACCTGACCAGCGCGAAAAGTACGAAAGATTAATTTTTTAAGATGACGGACGTCACGGGAAAAGGAGGAAGAAAGAAGCAGGATTTATTATTAATAAAAAAATATTAAATATTCATTAATTAAAGCAGGTGAAATTAATTAAAGTAGATAGTATCAATTAAAAATTAAATATTTATAAACAAAATGTTTTCTCTTTCTCCGCGGATTTTCACGTGGCTTTTTTTATTCTCTTCTAGAACGTTTTAAATAGAATATCTGAGACTTCGGAAGAATAAGAATTCTTTCACTTATCAGCTAGAGCTAAAAATATATTTGATTTAAAACGACATTTGACTATAGGATAACCGTTGCACTCCAGAACAATGTTTCCTGTGATTATTACATTATAAATATTAACTAAAATTTAAATACTTTAAATATATGTAAATGTATGTGTAAATATGTATGTATCTAAATGCACTTAATATAAAAGAATAATGACGAATAAAAATGAATATTTATGGAAAGATAATATAAAATAATAAAAATTAGTATTAATATATTGGGAAATAATAATTAGTAATTAATAATAATTAGTAATTGTCTCTCATAATTAATAATAATTAGTAATTGTCACTCATAAATACGAGTTATTTTATATAATAGCAGTTGCTTATTTTTTAACGATAACATGTTTTACTTTACCTTGCGTGGAAATACTATATATGATTTCCACATACAATCGAGCCAAATACTAATGACAAACTCTCAACCATTTAGAAACATTTAGAGACGAAAATTTTTGAAATCGAATTTCAAATCGACATAATATCGAAGTTACCTCACGACATTACCTCGTTTTTTAATGAATTTATTATTTTCGCTGATAATAATAACAAATCTATAAATAACCCGATATTAGCTCTGCCAGATAGCGATATTCTAATCATTGTTCTCCAAATAATCAATATGAAAAACTATTTCCCCCGACGTGTCCATTTTTCTTAAGTTTATCGTTAAAGAGCAATTGCAATATTTTTGTTGTGTAAAAAATAAACGGTAGGTCGGTCCATTTTAGCTGAACTGGGTTGCGCTTTTTATTTTTAAAATAAAATAAATAAACAATCCAGCGTTTTTTTAAAGAGCAAATGGAACAAAGTTCTAGTACGGCATTAGTCAACTGAAAAGAACAGGCCTTGTACCATTTGTCTGTGACATACCTCAACTTTGACGACGCGATACATATTAAACATTTTAACGTTAATTTGCAACCTATACATTACTATTGTATACATTGTATTTGTATAGCACTATTATATAGTACTCGTTACCAATATAGACATAATTTTACATTAGAACATAAATTCATTTGCAAACTATTTGCAAATCAACATTTCCACGTCGTGATATTATCCCATGGTTATCGCAATAACATCGTATAAACGAGCTATTCGACGAGCGCGTCCAATTAACATGTACATATTATATGTACAATATAATTCACATGTTTGCATTTTGAGAATTCCTGCGTCTTCTTTTCTTTTATGTTAGGTGCATTTACACATACATTTACATATATTTGAAATACTTAAATTTTAGTTAATATTTATAATGTAATAATCACATGAAACATTGTTCTGAAGTGCAACGGTTATCCTATAGTCAAATGTCGTTTTAAATCAAATGTTTTTTTAGCTCTAGCTGATAAGTGAAAGAATTCTTATTCTTCCGAAGTCTCAGATATTCTATTTAAAACGTTCTAGAAGAGAATAAAAAAAGCCACGTGAAAATCCGCGGAGAAAGAGAAAACATTTTGTTTATAAATATTTAATTTTTAATTGATACTATCTACTTTAATTAATTCCACTTGCTTTAATTAATGAATATTTAATATTTTTTTATTAATAATAAATCCTGCTTCTTTCTTCCTCCTTTCCCCCATGACTTCCGTCATTTTAAAAAGTCAGTTACAACCCGTAGTAACTTGTTACCGTGGAATATAGTATGATTGAAAGTGCTTATATCCTTGGTAGGTAATTTTATATTTAATTTTTTTACCAGTCATAGATTCATTATTAATAAATTTTATGCAATTTAAAAATCCCGAGGGGCCATAATCGAAATATACATGTGGTTTCGTACTATAACTATTATAAAACCTATTATGAAACTAGAGTATTCTTAATATAAGCAAAAGGCAATTTTAAATATATAATTTAAAAGAACACAAAGAAAAAATATTTAAAAATATTTAAAAACTCTTAATTCATGAAATAATGGATTTCGTAAAAATCTAATTCTTTTTCATTGCTCATTTTATCTAAATTATTTCTTAAGTAAACTCAAGCGTTATTTCTCAAGGCACGCAAAAAAAAAGTTTCTTCTATCTATTTAATTTCGTTAAATAAATTCTCCCGAATGTACGTTTTTTCTGCTTCACTCTGGCTTTTTAAACGAGTCCGTTTAAAGCTTGCTAAAGATGTGGTATTAAAGAAAAAAAAAAACACTTAAAGACGCAAAAAACTGTACAAACAGGTAGGATCACTCGCATTTTCTCAGAATATTTACGTCACGTATGCTTCGTATTGTTGCTTGATTTGATTTTCAGATTGGTGTCGCGTCCTTCGTGACTTTCTATTTCTAACGTTTCGCGAATATTTCAGTTTACATCCTCAGAAAAAAAAGAGAGGAGCTCTTGAAATCCTTTTAGATGTTTGTAAAAGTTACACTTCACTCCTTCAGAAATAGGAACATCTGAAACAGTTTCGATGTTCGCGAAACATCAAAAACAATTCACGAAGGATGTGACATCGATCCAGGAGCCAAATCGAGCATTCACCACGCTGCGGAAGTCCCAAATACCATTGCTTACTGTTGACAGGTGTAGAGAATAAACCCTTACTTGCAACTACAGTACAGCAAACGAATCGATTTGCACTCGATGCCTTCCACACTCTACTATCAGAACAATCGCGACTCGTTATTTCTTACCGATGTGATGTGATTCGTTTTTGCGCAAATACTGACGATGGATGTTTCAGCGGAACGTACAACAGCGACAATGTAGCGGGTACTCGTCGAGTCATGTATCGTGAGTTGGCAACTGAATTATCTAATACCATTTTTCATTTATTGTCCACTACTATTAGATAATAAGTCCGTCTTTCCGACAGTTGTTTCTTCTTTTAATGAAATTAGAATTCGCGACGTAAACAATAATGTATAAGCTACGAAATTCGCGAGAACGAAAATACTTTAGGGGAGATAACATTTTCCTTTGCTTCCCCGCAAAAATCCGGGCAAATCCGCACTCCACTTGTCCCTTTGTGAAAATTTGACGATGAATGTAGGCTCTGAAGATCAAATGTTTTTTGGCCCGGGTTTATATAGATCTAACAATTTCTTTTTGAAGTGCCGCGTTTGATTTTTTTGATAATAGCTATTAAAGGAATTGTTTGATACGCATAGAAAAAGTATTAAAGATATCAAAAGTATTTCTTTGCAATGAGTATATATACTAACATATTTACTTATACTAATATAAAATATCTTTTAAATAAAAAAAGTACATTTTCTTAAAACTTTAGGTTTTTATTAAAATAATTAGTTTATTCTATTTAAATAAAAGAATTTAGACTGAAGTATTAATATTATTAGTAATCATAGAATAAATGTTCCTTTTATTTTTTAAATATTTTTCTCAATAAATCGATTAATGATCATAGAATGTATATAGATAAATATTGTTTTGAGGAAGAAAGAAAAGTTTTCAGAAAATAATAAATAGGAAACATTTTCATTACGTTTTACACGAAAAACACGCTACAATGCAGTAGGTTTTCGCAAGTGCGCACGATTTTTCCAATAGAATTCAACGGCGGAATTTCATAGCGTAACGAGTCTAATTGACGGACTTATGTAAGAGTAGATGTGACGTCGCACTAGACATGCGCTGGATAGAATTTATCGTGAAATCATTCATCTTGCGTGCAATGCGACCTTGTTCACAATAACAAAGTCATCGTCATCTCTACAAATGGCAGCTTTGCTAATGATCGCTTTGCTATCAGCGAATCGGCAAAACGCGAAGTTTCGTTTTACGCAGTACGCTATTAAAGTATCCGGTGTCGGGTGTCCGCACATACGTTCAGAAAGACGTTATTACATTCGCGGAAGGAGTTATTATGCGATGACTTACAAGAGTTGAAATGCTCATAACATGCATATCCACGCTTTACATCTAATCGAGATATATTTATGTGCTCTCGCAGCGTAAATGCGTGGACAATGCGATGTTGAAAGCTTCGAAAGCGTTACTTTGAGGAATGAATACGCAGAATAAATGAATATGCATGTTTTACAAAATTTTCGAATAGTTTAGCCGTCGGAGAATTAATTATTCTAATTGGCTTACAATCGCTAAGCTCTTATCTTTTATCTTATCTCTTATCTCTTATCTCTACTTTTTGGAATTGTGAAAAGCGAGCAAGAAATTCTTCTTTGGAACTAACTATTTCCTACGCGCGCGCTAGGACGAGAGAATTAACCCATTACAGCCCATGGGCTGCAGAGTTATGGTTAAACTAACTATTGGGATTAGTGCATTTGGTCAAAATATGATTATCTATGACAAAAAATCAATTTTTCAATTATTTAAACAATAACTTGTTTAAACAATTTATTGTAAAATAATTTTTTTAAAAACTAATTTAAATTAATTTAAATATTTTTTTAAAAACTAATAGCATCATCCGCGCGCGCGCGCGCGATTCTACGGAAAGAATGACGAAAGAAAAGAATGTTTTAAAGAATTTTTATACAATCTATTTGTTGCAAAATTTAACGGCAGTGCACAATTGTACTCTTAGTTTTTTCTTAAAAAAATCTATTTTGCAATAAATTGTTTAACAAATTATTGTTTAAACAATTTAAAAATTGATTTTTTGTCATAGATAATCATATTTTGACCAGATGCACTGATCCCAGTTTAATCATAACTCTGCTGGCCTGCCTATGGGCTGTAATGGGTTAAGTTTAAAATAATTTATTCTAATAAAAATAATAGTATTATAAAATATATATTAAAATTTTTCTTAGAGAGAATTATTTTATATTTCATGTTTTTGAGACGTTGCGATTTATATCGCTGCATTAAAAATATAGGCAGCGATTGAGAGAAGTTGCGAAAGCAGTTTCTGGTTTTGCAAGGATAGGTTATTTTTGCTTAGAAGACTTCATCACATTGCACAATTTATGTGCGATGAATTTCAATCCGTTCATTTTTCACAGCGCATGCAAAAAAAAGACTATTATAAACGATTGTCGGCTTGACAAGCACATAATGAGATATTCAGAATGTTCCCGACCGTTTGCCGTCTGCCGTTATATACTTATACATTTGGTAAAAAAGAATCCTCTATCATTTTACATCACATAGATTTTTAGATATTAATTATAACTTTTATTATTGGATACTCTGTCATAATAAAAATATGAAAAAATAGATACAAATAACATGTTTATATTTCTTTTTGATACATAAAAAAATATTTTACATATTTAAATACATTTATTACCTTATTGCACTTCAGAATATAAAAGTTATTGTTTCATTGGAAACTTAAAAAGCGAAACAAGGAAATTGGATGTAACAAATTACTTATGTGATAAATTTTCTGCTATTCGCAAGGATAAGAAAAAACGCCAAAAATAAGAGGACAAAAAAAATAATATTTCAATACCATGAGAAATATTTATAGAAGGCATTTATTTATAATGCACAACTAGTTTTATGTTTTTAATAACATTATATTATTTTCTTCTGGTTTTTTTTATATATTTTATGATATTATTCAGTACTTTATGACAAATTGTCAAATATAATTAATATGTTATTTGTTTTCTAATGATTTTTGTGTAATAATATAATAAATGTCATATATCAACTAAATTTTAGTTATTATTTTACGATATAGCATCTATCTACAAGAGAAATCTATTTCCCTTTCTATCTACTTATGGATATTACTCATATATCAACTAGATATCAATATGATATCAATGAAATATCATATGGATTTATCCTTGATGTAACATCGATACAGTGTTGATGAAATATCAATATTCTATTGAAGATTAATAAAGAATCTAGTTGTTATCAAATCTAGTCGTTATCAAATCGAGTGATCCGAAAAATCATCGATATCAATTCGATCATCGACTTGTGAACCGGGGCGTGATTATTTATAAAATGACAAAGAGCTTTTTGCTCAATTTGACTTAATATACAAGCACACAACAGCATACATCGCCATATCGCCATATCGCGCGTGATCATTCACTAATCTTTTTTAGTTAATATCTCAAGATTTATTGCGAATATATCGCGAAACGGTATCAGACTTTTATGTTCATATCAATTCATTCTGTCCTCACAAAAATTACGGAAAAGAGTCTGGGACACTCTGTGTACGTATGCTTTTATTCTTTGTATACTTCGAAACGACGTTAACTACTATCAATTATCGTACTATTTACTTCGTATGTTTTTATATAGACCGATATTGCATCAGTATTTTTTTGTACTTGTATAATCGGTAACGAATACATTGCGATGTGTATTAAAATCCGATGAATTGCAGAACAACGTACATAGTTTGAAAAATAATAGAAGACTTTTTCGTTTAGATTGATGTGTTCTGCCTGCATCGCGGCTTCGTTGTCAGTTACCGAACATTCTGTAGATATACGTGCAAAACGCGATCGTTAAATGTTTGGCGGTAGATATTGGAATTAATTGGTATTAGATATATATTAGATATATAGAGAGAAAATAAATATCGGATATATATTTATATATATATCAGATTTGATGCTATAAATGTGGGGAAATTAACAAACACACAGCGTTAATTCTTATCAATGTAAATTATATAATAGTGTATATAATAAGCATTAATGTTAGCGTCAGTACTTAAAAAAAATAAACGTTTTTTCCATTTATTTTTCAATAATAAGTAATAACCCATAAACATAAATAAATTGCGTCGTTTCCATCGATATCTTAATTGCATGCGTTGTTAAGATAATTTTGCGTTTTGTTTATAAGGACGTCAATTATCGGTCGTTTATGGATCATTTGAGATAAAATGTACAACGCACGATAAATGCGAAAATGTAGTAAGTGTGAGACCAGTATGAGATCGTATAATATTTATTATTATTAGAATTTCGCAATGTCGGACTTTACGAGAGAGACACAGCTGACGTAATTTTTTACCTATTCTATCAATATGAATTTCATCTCATAAGCAATTCATAAGCGTGTGGACATGCAATGCATATGCGTGTGTTCTTCCAGGTCTCTCTCGCGTATGAGCGATTCTGACGAAAGAAAAGAAAACCAAAAGAAGAAAAAATCGAGACGAATCGAACGAGAGATTGAAAATATCTCGGCCTATTTTCGAATCAACCGAACCGTATTATCGAAGACTAAACTGAAACTGCACAACGATGAAGAAGGAAGAATAATTTTGTCACGCTGATATGCAGAAATAAATATGTTCTGCGCGAATCCAAAAATCCATGTCGAACGAGCACGAGCGTTAGTTTTCGCAAAAATCGAATCTCGTATAATCGTCGCGATTACAATGCTCTCGCCGTGTCACCTCTCCTGATCTGATGCACATACATGATTTTCGCAAGTGCAATGTAAAGGCTTGATCGAGGATTAAACGATGAGATGCGAACGTAGCGCGTTAAACGATGAGCAAATCAAGTGTAGGCAGCAATCTCTGCTCTCTTTGTCGCCCAGCACAACGCCTATTGTCCTACATACCCTAAAGTACTGACGGTAGTGCCCATAATCGATCCAGCGGTTCAGCGAGCTTCAGCAATGACGATTAATCTTTTATCACTTTACACTTCTTCTTTTCTCTTCTCACAAAGAGCCAACGTTCAACCAATAAAGTACGTACAAAGAAAGGGAGAAAGAGAAAGGGGAAGAGAAAGAGAGTGGGAAAGACACAGTTTGAAGTCACGTATGCGAATTTTATCTCTGTAACGGAACATGTAACGCGGCAGCATGCACTTTTGGACTTGCCGTTTCTACCACGATTGCCTTTCCGACCACTACGTACGAGTATATCCCCGAGCCTTGCAATCGACGGTCCCCTACTACTTTAGCGTTGCTAAAACTGCGTACTAGCGAAGCGAAGCGAATCGGAGCATGTAATCGCGAAACACTTCTATCCGATCGCTCTAACTATTTGCTCGATCTCCAACTAGACTTATGCAATTCAAGTTTTATTTGTGAATTTAACACGAGCATCAGATCATAGTCGATTATTTATGATTTCGTATATTAACTTAATTATGATGAATTCGATTAACACGATAAATATCTTAACGAAGATAAATTACGGTTAACGCTCGCAACATCACTTTACCGGTCATGTGATCGGACAATTTGTCTCGTAGGTATTCATTCGACGACAACGCTGCAAAACCGTAGGTTTATTTTATTGTTTGGATTCTCCGTTTTTGCCTCTTCTCTCCTCGCACACGGGTATATATACATGCACACACATTTATTCATAATTCGTTTGAAGTTGGCACGAAATTTAATGTCAAAATGAAGCCGCGAGGATATATTGAAAGATTTGACCGATTATCTTGTCGAGTGACCTGTTTTATATGTGTTATTCCAATGAACATCTCTCGTTGCGATTTACTATCAAGCAACCTCAGTTGTCAAATAAGCCATAAACCATAAGCCATAAGTCTATAATCCTGTCAAATTATAGCGGTGTATTGGAAGTTAGGAAATTCACACACCACAGGATTTAGATAACAGTCCCTCCCAATTTAAGATATATCCACGTGAATCTCAATTGTCACAACTCATCAAACGGCTACGAAAGCTTTCTTGCGTCCTATAGTTTTCGGTATTTGTACATTCTTGCGGTATTACCGATAATAAAAGGGTTTTCGGGAATTTCCAGCAAATATTAAACGTGAAAACTGTAATGACTCTTCGCTTAAACATGTTTATCACTTTTTTTTGGCACGAGTTTATCGCTTTTTTTTAGCACGAGTTACGTAAGTGTGCACTACGACAAGTAGATAGCTACGACAAAATCGACATAAATGCGTTGTTGGGAAATTTTATTCTTACTTTTATTAATGGCTTGATCTTTACTGATTCTCGTGCTCACTCTGCGACGTGCTTCGTTCTTCAATCAGTTTTGTGGACTTATATATGCAGAAGGATCGCCGATACTACGGAGTTAACTAATCAAAGTAATTTGTTTAGTTATATTTTATGCAGGGTTGGGAAGTAACGCGTTACTTGTAACGACGTTACTATTTCGTTACTTTTTTTTGGTAACGATTTGGTAACGCCGTTACTTTTTTGTATTAGTAACGCCGTTACTTTTTTGTATTAGTAACGCCGTTACTTTTTTGTATTAGTAACGAAAAAGTAACGGCGTTACATTTTCTTTAGTAACGAGTAACGAAATTCATCGTTATTTGTATCGTTACTTTTTTACTATAGTGATTTCTGTACACAGAACGCGGCAACGCTTGCCACGCGACGAAAGTTTGCACACGATAAACAATTAATGCTGCTTTCCGTAAAGCATATTCTACAATAAGCAATAAATCTTAAGTCATAGTAAAATTGACCAATCATAGTCGACTATGAGAAGAATAATCTACTGTAATTGGTCAATTTTATTGCAACTTAAAACTTATTGCTTATTGTAGAAAGCCTCTAGCCTCTAAAGCATGGCCTACAAGAGAACTTAAGCCATAAAATTTAAGCTTTAAGCTCTAAGCTATAAGAAATTGACCAGTCACAGTCAATTATTTTTCTTATAATTGACTGTGATTAATCAACTTCTTACGATTTAGGACTTAAAGCTTAAACTTTATGGCTTAAGTTCTCATTGTAGACCACGCTTAAGGGGCGTCGCACACGAATTGACATAATAGTAACGTACCATAAGAACTGACCAATCACTTTAAGTATCGTCGAACCATAAGGTCGCCATTTTTGTGAATACTCGGTTGTAATTGGTCCATTTTTACGGTACGTCTTACGTTACTGTTATGTCAATTCGTGTGCGGCGCCCTTAAAGCCCATTCTACATTACTCGTAATCGCAAAATCGCAAAGAAATTGACCAATCATAATTGATTATTTTTCGATCGCAAGAAGAACAATCGACTATGATTAGTCAATTTCTTTGCGACCTTGCGATTTGCGACTAATGTAGAATGGGCTTTATGTCGTTATGCAAGAATGTATGCTTTCTGCTTAAATATCTTACATTTTGTCTTTATATATGTATAATTTATGTACTGTTTCTCTTACTATTCGTTTTATAAGTCGATTTTAACTTTTTTTTTACAAAAGTAACGGAAAGTAATGATTTTTTTATCGTTACTTTTCAAATAACGGTAACGCGTTACTTTTTAGAATCAGTAACGGATAACGGTAAGTTACTTTTTACCGCAAGTAACGGTAACGGTAACGCGTTACTTTTAAAATGTAACGTTCCCAACCCTGATTTTATGAGTGCAGAAGATAGCTAATCGGAAGGACGTGACACAAAATCAATACACGATAAGAAAATCCAAAACGACTTTAATGTGATAAGGCTATTAACTATATGTTGAAAAACAATATTACTTGCTAATCGTATAAAACAGAGTTTAAGGTCTAATGTGACTGTTCCACCGATTGAATGATTGTTCCACCGTATAATTGTACTTAGAAATTAAAAATATTGCATTACGAGCTGATCGATATCTCCACGTTTATCACGCCCGTACGCATACACAGTATATATAGTTCTTGATTTTCTCCAATTAATAAGAGAGAAGAGAGGGAATATATTTAATTGAATTATTTTTGAAATTATTTTTGAACTGCACACACAGAAATGTTGTTTCATATGAGCGTTGTTATTTCCCGCACGTAAATTCTCTTTTGTAAATAATTAATCAGAGCTTGTTATTCAATTTGACTTTGTGCATTAATTGGTATATCCATTTTTTAAATAAATAAACATCCATTTTTTAATTAAATAAACATATTCTGCTATTAAAATAATTTTTGTTCTTCTTTTGAGGACAATCTCTCTCTCGTAAAGGGACTCAATGTGGCCCGATTAGGTCAGGTCAGGTCAAGGCTTTTCCTTTTCTCTTTTTCTCCCCCTCTCTTCCTCTCTTCTTGTAGCTAATTACGTCGGCAAGTACGCTGACCTAGTCCACACGAAAATAGTTGAAATCATATCGAGTATAAATAGAGCTGTTCCTCTGTCGTTCTTCTTTGTCATTTCTATAATTATGACTTTTGTTTCGAAAATCTCGCGATATACCGCGAGACGGGATTGCTGATTCATAATTGATTCATAATATATATGTATACTGAGAGTCTTTTGTTCGCTTCTATTAGCTAGTTAAAGCCGTATCTACAATTCTGAAATATCCAGAATATAACAGCTGTGTATAACTTGTGACACGATTACAGAAACGGATATACATTCAGTGATCGTTCTCGTCGACACGTCTATTTTTTCCACTTTACTCGCAAAGAATTGTCTTCACCGATATTCCATTTATATTCATTACATTTTTGATACGTGCACACGATAAAGACGCTCGTTCGACGAGATGATTGCGTCCCCATTACACAAAATTGAAGTCGTTCAATCGAATACTCCCACGTTGATTAACTCGCTTGCACGTGCCGATTTTCATCGTCGCGCCGCGACGAAGACGATAGCCTTAGTTGCCACCCACCACGTCCTTCATGTCGTCGCGATATTTCACGGGGTAGGCTAATTGGTTGCCCTTGTTCCACGTGTAGAGCTCCTGAAATGACAGAATTCCGTTTTCAGTACGAGCGAAACGACAACGGAGCGTGCACAGCGAAAGCCACGAATACATACCTTGGTTTTATGATTGTAACTGACCGCCGTGGTCTTATGATATGGATTCGTGAATGACAGGTGTACTTTTAACGTTGCATTTCGAAACAGATCGAACGCGAACCTGTTCAATAAATTGCGATTACGAAACGGTAGAGAAAGCGGCGCAAACACGCGATACAAATATCCAACGTATTCCGTGCAAATATTCGTGTTAACGAGACAACATACTTCTAACTAAATTTCAATCGAACTGAAATTTTGGATATCCTATGCTTTCGGATGATTTGCGAAATTTCTCTTTTCACTTTCTTTAACATCAAAATAGATGTTAAATGGAATATTGAGAGTAAAAGTGGGATCAAAATTTCGACTCGAGTACTTAAGCTTCATCGAATTATCACCCGAATGAGGTCACGTTGGGCGAATCTTTCACTCTGTATCATATCTATTATTATTATAATTATTAATCGTAAAACCCCAAACATATGGGTGAGATTTACTCAGACCAACTTTGCAAATATTACCGTTCTTAAAAATATATTTTGCTATCTCATTATAACACCTCAATCACAAAAACATCAATAGATTTATATTTCTCGATGCTTTCTATACTGGTTAAAAAAAGAAAATATTGAATTTTAATCATTTTTACGGAAGTTGTGAATAAATGAAAACGCATTAAAAGTAAAATTTATTTATGTTTAGAATTTACGTAACTTTCTGATGTTTAGGGTTCTAGGATTAATTTTCATATTCGAAATTGAAGATAGAGAATTCGATGTACTCTATCGTCACTGGAATAAATTCCAAAAACAAATATACTAAACAGTTTTCTTCCCGTTTGACCTTTTAACTCGAGAGGCGTATATATATACGCTTCAAAAAAGTAGCTGTGCATGTACGAAAAGCGTATTTACACGCCCTAACATATTCATCGATATATATGAGAGCCGCACATATACATCTTATATATTTGGTTTGATATGATGCATTTAATTTCTCACAAAGCCGATGTATTACCGTGTTTTATCCCTTAATATAGCCTGCCGTGTACTTTAACCCTTAATATAAGCAGATAAGCAAATGCTTTATGTGAAGCGCGTGAACTAATGGAACGGCCTGGTCTCGATGATGTGACAAGCAAGTATCGTGCCGCAAATGATACAACGTAATTGGAGTGCGCTACAGCTAAAAGGTTAATTATTATTATTGCTACAAATCCATTTTAGTCGGCTACAACACTCTATGGTTTGAATGAAACACTCTTCATTCTTGTGTGCTTATCTATTCGAGCATTATCATTTCGAGCGAAATCTCACTCCAAGAAATTTGGAGAGTATCTTCGCACGACTGATAAATATGTGTGAATATTTATTCATATAGAATGAGAGATAATTCGAAGAAGTTGTATTTTCGTATGACCGATAAATATGTATAAATATTTATCTATACAGAATAACAGTCGGAACAAATTGTACAAAATAATACGTATTTGTGAGGAAATTATGTCTAGGAGATAAGACTTCTTCGTATTCGCGTATTCGTCGAATACTTGTGTTCAGGATTGTGGAAAGTTCTAAAAGTAAACTGCTCGCGTTACCATATTTTCATAGTCTCCTCGGTGACGCTATGTACAGCGTAAAGCACTCCTCCCGCGATGAACATCTCTCCGAACCTATGATGATCAATACTAATATTCCATGCGTATTGAATAGCCATTCTCATGGGGTCCATTTTCACCACTACGGTATTATTGGATGGCAGCCCGTAAATGACCCATAAACCTGCGCGCAAAGTATGTCGTGTATTTTTCCGTGAGACTTTTTCGCGCCTCCTCCTTTAACTCGATAAAACAATACTCGAATGAATTTCGTCTCGTTTTACACCCGATTTTTAACGGCTATATCCAAGTTAATGGTTAACCCAGTTTTCTCGTATATCCCGTCCAGAACGAAAATTATGGCCGGCCGCTGGTCAGCTCTCGTTCTCACCGTTCTCGTCCACGTTGAAATCCACATAATTGAAATTATGGTATGGCGTGTAGAGGAAATTCTGGGTGTTGAGCACCAAGCCGGGTAGCTGCATCTCGCACTTGTTGAAGTCCCGGTCGCAGCCGTGATCCGAAGTCGAGTAGAGATCGAAGCGGAAGACCGTCGAGCGATTTTGCGGATTATAAAAGAAGGACTTGTTATAAACTATGTGTCCGTTACCCTTGAAAAAAAAAACACGAATTTAATTCGTGAGATTTGATTTCGATTGGCTTAAGCGTCATAATCCTTCTGTAACCAGCGTTAATCATTCTGATCGTCTTATGCTTATTATAATTTTGCAACCTCTCTCTCTCTCTCTCTCTCTCTCTCTCTCTCTCTTTCTCGGTAATTATACGTGGCTGGAATTAGAAGTCCCACCTGGAAGGGATAGGGCAATTTTTTGAGACGAGCCGTGTCGTTCTTGAAATAGTCCTTCGATATGTACTCCAAGATGTGGGACGTGTCGTTCTTGCGAGTGACCCAGAGCTTATCGGGCGTGCCGTCGTGGCGGAAGGACGCGTCGTGCATCCAACTTCCGTAGTAGTCGTCCATGCTTCCTTTCAGCACAGGCTTCCCCACGGCCTCTATCATGCCCTCTGAGAATTCACCGACGTCAGTTATGAACTTTCGAGCCCCGCCGGAGCGTCGGCGGGGAAAAGTTTCGTTTTTCACAGTCGCGCGATATCACGGACACTCCGTGTGGATTCGGCGAGCGCGTTAGTTCGCTAATTGCATAAATTCCCGCGGCGTCTCACTTTTCGCTCATTAACGTGGCCATGCTGCACTTGACGCTCCACTCATCCTGTATGCGCCGTAATGTAAAAGTATCGTGTACACACGTATTTGCGGCGAGAGGACGGCGAGAGATATCTCAATATTATCGAGCCCGCATTTTCCGCCCGCGTTTATCGATAAAAATTTTTCAAACGTTACACGTCCGCGTCGTAAAACTCGTGTGTACGCAAACTTTTCGCGAAAGCGTTTACGCATGCAATTTCGTCCGCGTTTGTCGACATTAATTAACCGACATTGTTTCTTTTTATGGGAACGCCCAGAATATGTTGCTGGAATTGATTAAACGTACCGGCTAGAGACGGCGGCGGCCCGGTGAAGTTAAAGCCTCGTAACGGTTGAACGTGTACGCGATCTGTTATATCTGTGTACGTGCATTTCAGCACAGGGCACGCCGCACAGGTTTCTTGCGGACTGCATAATTCCTCCTGATCGACGCTCGTAGGCATGGGATCGCCGTACGTAACGTGTTGTTGCTTTCCCAACTTCAGTCTCTCGATGTTTTTAGAGTCGTCTGTGCGACGGTGTTTGTCGTTATTAATTCGGAAATTGTCCGGCGGCAGTGATTATTACTTCTTAGAAATGAACGATAGATCTAGGAGAATTCTTGGGAAGTTAAATTGCGAAATAAGATTTCGAGTCTCGGAAGATCTCCGGAATTGTGTGTTCGAGGAGCAGCATGCCGGACGTGCTCTCTTCACTCTCCTGTGTTTTACTTTTAAGTTACTTTTAAGTTTTACTTTTAACGCATCCTTGCTACCTGGAAATGACGCGCGGAAGTGAAAGTGCGGAGAATAAAAAAAATCGCACGTCTAACTCGATATCAAACAAAGTTGGAGAGTTGCGAGACTTGTTTTTACAATCCTTCCTCTATGATATTATTAATTAGCAATGGCTTCTTGCGATCTCTTATCGGATAGTACGAAGAAAAACAAACCATCCACTATAAAAGATCCCTTGGTAACGTCGACATCATTCTTCACCACGCAGTGATAAGTTCCATGATCCGATGAGGTCACTCTCGTAATCTTCAGCCTCATCTTGAACTTTTGAGAATAGCGTTATACATTACAAAATATTATTCGTTACCAAAACTGCAAAACTGTTTGGCAATCATTAATAATCAAAATTATCGAAGCTTTCTTTATTTGAATATTGACGAACAGTCAATATTCACTGAAGTCATTGAAGCTTTTTCGTCCAATGAACATCAATAACAAACGAAATTACTGAAGCTTTCTTTGTCCAACGAGCAATTAATAACAATCGAAATTATTGAAGCTTTCTTTGTTCAGCAATGAACAACAATAATCATTGAAATTATTCAACGAACCAGTTGCACTTGCTTTTACAATAGCTAAATAATTTCTTACAATAGTTATAATAATTTTATATATATAAAAGGATATTTTCGTAAAAAAAAATAGTTAAGAAATCGTAGCAAAATGGCGTAGATTCGATAAGAAGGTTCTCGTAAATTACCTTGTATATGTCGCGCTTGTCGTAAATATCTATCCTATACCTCTCCGATGGCTTCAAACGGCGACCGTCACCGCGCTCCCAGTGAACGGACGGCTCGGGAAAGGCTTCCACCTCGCATTCTAACATCGCCGGGTTTTGGTTTCGTACGATAATTACTTGGTTGCGTATGCGAATAAACGGCGAAACTGGAACGCAATCGATTATCAATTTCACCTACATCCGACATTTCGACCCGGCTCGAATTAGTTCTTTCGGTATGAATTTAATAACATCGGAATCCGCGAAACGCTCATCTCCGTCAGGCCCGACGTGTGGCGCGCACCAAAAGATTTACCCGAGAAAAATATTTTCAGGATCGTACTACAAGTGCATCATGAGTTACTTGATCTGAAGAATATTGTTATCTTGTGTTATATAGAATTCTCTAAAAAGTTCTCCCGTGATAAGACGCATTCTCCTGTATGTGCGCAGCACGTCGAAGTTGATTGACATGGGAAGTCAAAACAAAAGAACGGAAGAACAAAGATATTACTTCGTAATATAAAATTATGAAATGTAATATATATATATATATATATATATATATATATATATATATACCCTTCAGAGAAAATATATCCTTCAGATATTATACTATTATACTTATATATATAATATGTAATATATATAATGTAGTACACACACACACACACACACACATGTATATATGTGTATATATATATATATATACTACATTATATATATATATATATATATATACATATATATATTACATATTACATATATACATTATATATATATTACATATTATATATATATATAAGTATAATAGTAATAATATATAAATAATAATATAAATAATGAACAGAATCGTTAAAAACTACATGCGCCGCGAAATTGCAAATTACCCGAATTGAAATTTAAGTCCTACTTTGGACCTGAACTTTTTAATATCTGAAGGATGTTCCGAAGGATATATTTTCTCTGAAGGGTCGATATATATGTAATACACTAGAAATTGACATATATATGTAATACACTAAAAATTGACATTCTATATAACGCCTTTAAGAATGTCTTATAGTTTCTACAGAGAATCTCTTGGCAAAACTAGTAGCTTAAATAGAAACAAGAGAGTTTGATATAGGCTTCAGAATATTAAAATAAGTGTGTAGGTACTTTAATTTTCTCAGAAGCGGGGCGGGTCTCTCAATGACATTGAAATACACTTACATTTGACTTGGAGCATGATCTTCTTGGACCTGGCTGGTGGTACCCCGTTGTCGGCGTTGCACGCATACTCGCCCATATGATTCCGGTTCACTACGCTGATATTGAACGTGTGGCTCGGTATGGAGCTCACTAAAATCCGTATGGTTTGCAACACCAACAGAGTTATTGGTATCGTCGTCTGCTACTTTTTTCATCGCGAATTAAAAAAAGGGAAATAACTATACCGTGCCAGGCACCCATTGATATGGCGGATCCGTCTGTTTTCGTCCACTGCACGACAGGCTGCGGTTTTCCACTCGTGTCACACCTCAGCCGTATGTTGGTGCCTTCTTGCACGGAAATCACATCACTCCCGTTCGGTGTAATTCCTGAAACGCCCCATTTTCCGACATAGCTTCCTCACAGAAACAAAGAAACATATTGAAAATTTTCGCTTTGTAGATTTGAGTAATACCGTTTTTTCCTCTCATGGAAATTCCTTACACAAAGAATACAGACTGGACGCGAGAGTCGAATCGATCAAGGACTTTTGTTTGTAGTATTGTTTATAGTTTCGGTATTGAAAATGTTTGAGCGCGTGCTATGTGAAGGAGAGGGGGCTCAGTTTGGGTTAAATCAATAGTCCTTACTCAGTATGGATGGCGGGATTAATATCTCATCCATATTGTTCACGTTCCCATAAGCTTGTATACCTGGCGTGCCGTTTCTCCCCGGTGGCCCTTCGCGACCTTGTGGACCTTCGTCTCCTGAAATGTACCAAATATTCGTTTGACGTGTGGATGTAAAGATAGCAAGTGAGAATATCGTGTCTGCGCTCACCTCGTTGTCCTGGTGGTCCTTGCGGCCCCATTTGACCGGATCTTCCTAATTAAATATGAAATCAATGCAAAATAGCCTGTGTCTCGCAAACTAACAAAATTCATGTTTGCGTTGCAAGAATATATATCAAAACTGAAAAAAAGTCGCAATTTTTAAATTGCAAAGTTCTTAATTCGTAATCCTATACGGAAAAACACAACTTTATCAGTGCAACTAAATTTTCTGTTACTTGAGGACCAAATGAAAAATTCGATTGTAGGAACAGTAAAATTCCTGGAGGTTTTTACTCAGTCAATTGCCCTCAGTTATCTCAGCCGAGTTTTAATATCGAGTTGAATTTTCAGACGAATGTTTTCGATCATAGTAACAAAGATATTATTTCTCGTTAGCGGTTTTTTGTCTGGTCCCCATTCAGTTATCCGAACCGAAATTTTTTCCGTGTATAAACCAAACTTGGTTTCTTATTTCACGCTTACATTGTCGAGAGAGAGATGCAAATCGAACAAATTCTTTATACATTTTTCGGATATTTTATGGATTCCTTGTTTCCTGTTTAACCGTCCTTGACATATATCGATCTCCTAAGTTGATAAAGTACAAAATTAATTAATTAAATTTTTTCCCGAAACCATAAACGTTATCGTGTGCGAGCACTTTAACTCTTGTTAAGAAGTTTTTATACGGGAAACATTTTTAATATATTTCATTACCATTATTTAAAAATCATCCTCACAGATCACAAAGCACGATTCTTTTTATACATATATTAAATAGATTACGTGAGTAAAAAAAGATTAAAGGCAAATTTAACTCGAACAAATATATACAGCGCGCAGTGAACCTGTCTGTTATATAATATTTTTTGTTTTCCTCCACTTCCGACGTTTACATCCTTCTTGTAGAAGCTTCGATTACAACACATATTCGCTAAGTAATGTAACAATTCAATTAATGTAATTAAATTTTCCGTTGCCTGGTAAGAATGGAGACCAAATGAAAAACTTGTAGGAACAGAAAGATTTCTATGAAACAGGAAGTTTCTCCGTGATTGTTCTCAGTTAATGCAATAAAATTTTAAGAACTCTAAACATATAGATAAAATTTATCTAGATCAACTTTTTAAACGTTACTATTCTTAAAAATATATATTTTATTTTTTCATTATAATTCTTATTTATAATTTTGTTCAAATTTATTGAACTTTATTGAATTTTATTGAACTTTATTGAAAGATATTAATAGCAAAGATATTAATATTTTCATTTATAATTTTATTCAACTTTATTAAACTGCAAATATATTAATAGATTCATATTCCTTGATATTTTTATATTCATTTAAAAAAGAATTGAATTTTGATCATTTTTCCAGAAGTTATGAGTAAATGAAAATGTGAAGAATTTATTTTATTTAAATTTACCTTAATTTTATGAGTAAAATTTACCCATGTTTAGGGTTTACATAACTTTTTACCTAACTCTGGACATTCTTATTGTTTTGTCCTTTGAATACGAATATTTAAATTTCAGAATAGAATGTATATAGAATGTATATGTATTCTTTTATGCTGAAAATTCAAATGTTCATATTAATAAATATTAAATATCAAAATAATATGAATGTTTAGGATGTCTAGGATGTCTACATGTCTGAATATTGGTATTTTTATTTTAATATAATCGAAAGTTCAGACAAATGTTTTCGGTTGCATTAATCTTTCTGTTCCTACAGCCGAGTTTATCATCTGTTACCAGGCAACAGAAAATTCAATTACACTAATGGAATCGTTTTTCTCCGTATATATGTTACATTGCTCAGCGAATGTGTGTTGTAATCGAAGCTTCTACAAGAAGGATGTAAGCGCAGGAAGTGGAGGAAAGCAGAACACAGATATATCATTATATTATATATCATAATATCATAATATCATTTTTCGACTTCAAATTTTTATTTGGCCTCTTTTAACCCATTAAGACCCAAGAGAAAACCGCTAAGAATAGGCTTTCAAAAACCATCTAAATTAGGGTTAAAATTTGTTAAAAAGTGAAAAAAAAATTTGTGTTGGATTTCAAAATTCAAAATGGCGGACCAATATGTTAGTCCGAAAATTTGAAATTTTGACTTATTTGAGTGAAAATTCGCCCAGACAGCACAAATCTCTTCGGGATGTCCTCAGGATGTCCTGAGGATGTCCCAATGTCCTAAGGACATCCACAGAACGTCCATGGGATATCGTGTGCTGTTTGGGCGTATAGGCGGGGTTTTGGGTTCGCTGAGTATGAATATGCACTTATTTTTTCAAAATTTTTCAAAACGTACTTTCATTGAAATAAATGAAAATTAAAAATTTTTGGCCGCCATATTGATTTTGAAAGTCAAAAAACCATTTTTCTTCTACAGTCTGCTAAAGTATGATGTTTTGCCCCAAAACAAATATCTTCGAAAGCTTATAATTTGGTTGGATTTTTTGCCAAATAACAAAACTATGTCAAATTTTCGCATTTTTGGGTGGCTATATTGGATCCGCCATTACGAATTTTGAAAAAATAAGTGCATACTCATACTCTGCGAACCCCAAACCCCCCCTGTACGAATTTTCACTCAAATAGGTCAAAATTTCAAATTTTCGGGCCGACATATTGGTCCGCCATCTTGAATTTTGAAATCCAACACAAATTTTTTT